ATACAAGCAATCCCTTTGAGCAAATGGCTCTGCAACAAGAGAGAATCTATTTAGGGGCTCCTTCGCCATCGATGTTGTGATGATATTATAGATTGTGAAGATGCCGCGCATCCTTCGAGTCCTGAATGTAATACTGGCCTACAACTCGAGGTAGTCGTCTGCATTCTGTGTCTATCTACCGTACAGTAGCTACTCATATAATACTTCTCTTCCACATCAACATCACAGGCCAATCCCACATTCATACTGGATCAACCTCAGCCTAGAGTCCGTGGCAACACTGTCAGAGATCTCACAATTCCCACATAGCATCGCACTGAATACGCATGATACCGCGGTCGATATCATCTATGCGGCAAATAACTTTTGAATGGCATATTCATATACGGACGTCTCCCTGACGCTCGAGTGTTTGAATCTTATTTTATATTATATTGCGACGAGAGCATATTGAATACTATATATATATATCATCGTCACAACAATCTTACACGTGTTGATTTGTTGTTCTGCTTTGATTGGAATCATTGTTGCAACCTCATTCGTGCTATTTGTATCAACGCCATTCGCGCTCGTCACATTCATTGACAATAACTCCCTCCCAACGCAAAGCCTATGAAAGTCCTTGCGATGATGGAGAAAACAACATCAGGGCATCAACGTTTCATCTACACGACACAGACCATTAAGGTTCCACGAGACGTGACGCATGCCTCTATCCATGAAGAAGTTCAGGAGATTCGACATGTGACATTCACAGGCCGCCTTGAGCTGTTGGAAGTAAATCTAAACATGGGGCTCCGGATTCTTGGGAAAGCAGTCTTCAAAGGGTGTCTATCTTTGAAAAGGATATCTGTACCTATGACAGTGCAGATCATTGGCTATTCGGCCTTCCTTGGATGTGGATCTTTGACTGATGTAGAACTATTTGAAGGCCTGGAGGAGATTGCTGATCTGGCCTTTCTTAGCTGTCGGGCATTGCAACGAATATCCATCCCTTCAACAGTGGGCACAATTGGGAGCTGCGCCTTTGGTTACTGCGAGTCATTGACGGAAGTCTCATTTCAAGACGGCCTATTCGAAATCAAAAGAGGTGCTTTTCAATATTGCGTCGGATTGTCCCGTGTATGCATTCCAACAACAGTACATACTATTGGAGAGTCCGCATTCGCCTTCTGTACTGCACTTGTTGAAGCCGATCTAAATGAGGGTCTTGTATCCATTGAAGCGGCGGCCTTTCAAGGATGTACGGCGCTATGTGCTGTCTCCATTCCACATACGACAAATGTTATTAAAGATGGGGCATTTGGGGGCTGCACGAAGCTCCTTGGTGTAGAGTTAGCAAGTTCCAGTTTATTTAAACTGGAACTTGGGGAAGCTGTCTTCTTGCGCTGTAATGCGTTGGTCAATGTTTCTATCCCTTCCGCTGTAAATAAGATCGACAATGAGGCGATTTTCCATGGTTGTCCTCTGTGGGATGATGAAGGCACAGACGATCCGCTCCAAGACCGATATGCAAACCTACCTATCCACGAGGCTTGCTATCAGGCGTCGAGAACGACCGTTGACGACCTGAAGACTCAACTGGCAGTATCATCATCCAATGAGAAGACTTGTCTGGTCGATGCTTTTGGTTTGACCCCGTTTCATATCATTGCAACATCTTCCAATCTTCGCACTGATCTCATGACAGTACTGTTGGATCACTATCCATTGGAGATTGTTTCACAAAAGGATCGCAATGAAAAGACAATGATGGACTATTTGTTAGCGCACACTTCGTCCAATGCTAATCCAATGATTCAAATGGTTCTCAAGTATACGTTGAATTTCATCATGTCCCGCTGGGGTCTGAAACAGTGGAGAACGAAGATTGCTTTGCAGATGGAACAACGATCCATTGAGTGGAATCATAAAAGTGTCGTCCAAATCCTCAAGTCGTTGACTACTTTCTTCCAAGCCGAAGTGACATCAATTCTCGAGTTGGCATTGTGGAAAATAAAAATCATTAGCAACTCGACCTTGCAAGATGATCCTTCTTCACGACGACAAGAAGAAGAAAAAGAAGAAGTGGATCGAGAATCCTGTCGCATGATCTGCAAAGCTGATGTTGTGATTTCAAATGTCGTTGGCTTTCTTTGGCAAGATAAAGACGAATCATCCATAATTTCGAATGTCTTGCCGAATTCCTATCACATCATTTCCATGGCAGAAATTTGAAGGTGCAAAGGTCACAAAATAGGGCAAGTAGTATTTTAATAAATACACTAAAGTTTTAAAATATCACACGACCAATATGCTGTAGCACTCGTGAAAGACTACAATACGCTCTGCGACTTTGGTTAATGGTTGTGCCTCTTGGATCGGTTTCGATATCTAACGCAATAAAGTAACAACAAACCCACTAATACAAGTGCTCCGTACATAGTCTGTCCACTAGTGGCAGTAGAAGCATGCATTCCAGCAGCATCCAAAGTTGCAGTTTTCGTGGCCTTCATTTCCACAGTCTGGTCATTAGTAGCAGTAGCCACGCTACTTGTTGCATCCAAAGTTGGAGTAGTAGTAGTAGTAGTAGTAGTAGTCGTAGCCTCGTGTTCTTCCGTGCACACCTTGGCTAAAACATTTTTCCAAGCCTCGCCCCACGAATTGCAAATTATAGTCAGATCCATGGCAGTAGTAGCTCCATCAAAGATATCCTTTGCACTGTTGAGTTTCGAAACATCCCAAGACGACAAGTCTTGCTGAAAGGATGTCGCCTTGTGAAACATGCCGGCCATGTCTTGTACATTGGATACATTCCAGGAGGACAAATCTTGATTGAAGGAGGATGCCTCTTGAAACATGCGATGCATACTCTTTACAGAAGACACGTCCCATTTCTCCAAAGGTTGATTGAACGAGGAGGCACCAATAAACATTCCCGTCATGTCGGTCACAGAGGAAGTATTCCACAAGGATAAGTCTCCATTGAAGGAGGTTGCACCCCAAAACATTTTTTCCATGGTCTGAACCGACGAAACGTCCCATGCCGAAAGGTCTTGATTAAAAGCCAATGCACTATTGAAGGTGTTGTACATGTTGGTAACTTTCGAAACGTTCCATTTGGAAACATCTTGATTAAAGGCGGATGCCCCCGCGATCATGTAGGCCAGGTTTTCGACCTGTGACAAATCCCATTTGGAAATGTCTTGATTGAAGACGCGTGCCCGATAAAACATGTGATCCACACTCTTGACATTCGACAAATCCCATGCAGAAATGTCATCATTGAATGTTTTCTTGTTGCTAAACAATTGGTCCATTTCCGTTACAGAAGAAACACACCAGGTGCCCATGGGCCAGCCATATGTTTTCACAATGACAGTCTTTAATTTGCAGTTGTGGCTATCCGAACAGCCATCTTGGATAAAGGTATCCACTGCTTTTCGAAGTTCTGTACTATTTTGGAAACAAGAACAGCCGTAATCATTGACCTGCTGATGTTGCTGATGCTGTTGTGAATCATTGCCCAAGGAACACGTAGTAAAGGTAGAAGAAGATGCCATTGCAGATGATGATTGTGATGACATTGACAAGATGATCATCATCGTTGCCACCACCAGGATTTTGTGTGCAACCATCTTGATGGTAACATGCGCGCAGATGGCTACCTGTGTGTGTAGTTCCAAGGTTAAGGTTGAATCCTCAGCTCAGTCGCAGGTTACTGGTACCTGGTACCATAAGCATAACAATGACAATAATATAAAATAACTGCCCAATTTTTTTCAGGTTGTTTCAAAATATATTCAAAATGCTGTGCGATCAAGGATTATTGGTGCGATGATCACCGATTCTCTATTTCCTCATATTTAGTCTAACGAGTCGCAATCTATCACGACTTGAAAATGAACATAGGAATAATGACGAATCCATCTGTGACTACACTATCATCATCCTTACATGGTCATCCATTATTCTCTGAATGCACGGTAAATATTATAGCAAGCATACAGTTATTAAGCGACTGACCCAGTCACCGGACTTGTAGCGAATACAAGACAGTCCAGGAAGAATATGAGAACGGGTCCAGATCACAACACCACCGAAAGTGATGAATTCATTGCTCGTGCTTTGGCCGAGCAAGAAGCCGAAGAACACGAACGAGCTGAAGCCTT